GGTGGGTGACTGGTTGTGTAAAGCGCTTTGGGGTCCTTAGGGACTAGAAAAGCACTATACAAATACAGGCCATTTACCATTTATTGTAGTATTTCAGCTGGAAGTTTTCTGCTGCCAGAGAAAATATTCAGCTATATTCTACAAATATTCTAAAAGGCAACAAATCCCAGGTAATTTCATGGTCATACGTGTCACACACCAGGCCGCATAATCAAGAACTTAAACTTACTATGAAGTATGTAGTCAGTATAATCACTGCAACACCTGGTCAGGGTTTGGCTTATTTGAAATAAGCCAAACCCTGACCAGGTGTTGCTAGTGTTGCTTATTTGAAATAAGCCAAACCTTATCAATAAAGTCTCTTTATTGCAGAAACAAACTGTGACACAAGCAGGCTGGGGGAAAGGCAGGGTGGAGTGGGTCATCGTGCATTTTTTCAATTTACTATAACACCCCTTGAAGCAACTGTTGTGTTGAATTGGCTCTATACAAATAAAACTGAATTGGTCTGAATTTTTTAATCAAAACATAAAACTTACATCAGTTTTCCATTTCTTCCTGATGTCTTCAACTACATCATGCAGCTCGTCCAGCTCCTTCAGAGAGTCCTTTGGCTTCGTGTGGACTGGGATCAGGACCAGATCGTCCACAACTGAAATACAGTTTTTTATATTTAGATGAGAAGGTGGAGTGCTACACTATCAGGCATCACTGTCAGGCTCAGGTAACAGGCTGCCTCTGTACAGAGACACCTGCCGGTATAATAACAAATTTAATTAATATCAGAGTGATGTAATTATGTTATTCTATTCAATGAATTCCAAAACATAATATCAGTGTTATCCTGACTGTTGACTGTTTGACTACTGCCAAGGTTGTTAGTGTGAAAAATATGAAGTAAGAATCTAAAGGACAGAAATGGCTAATTCAGGTATAACCTGTGTTTATTGGGCACTGACCCACTAGTGATGTTGTAGGGTTCCTCCGACAGCCAAACCCATCTGTTCTCTGATTGGATTGTTACATTTGTGATTGACATGACATTGACCAATCAGATGAAAGGAAGAAAAATAGTGTCTTTTACGCACACACAAATTCTTTTTACACATACAAAACTGATTTACAAGTACAAAATATTTATGACCACATTTTGAGCCCATACGTTACTTCATTGTTATTGTTAATTGTGAGAGAAAGAAGGGAATTTTGAAGGTTTTTTTTTAGCATTTTATTTTTCAGACAAACTCTTACTGTGTTCACTAGCTCACAGATAGTCATCCTATCATGGTTTCCATTTAGGCACAGAGAGAAATTTACTATGAGTGCTCAAACATAATTTCTTTACTGTAAGAAGTCAAAGTGTCAGCTCAAATAGACAAGTTAAAATGATGCGTTTGTTCCAAAGTTAAAATGATGCGTTTGTTCCAACTTACAGTTCATGTTATGCACTACCTAAAATAATGTTTTTGTGAAATCTATATGAAGTATAATAACTTAGTGTGGAAACTGTGCTACTGACTCTGTATTTATGTAAAGAAAATGTGGACGAGGTTGGACTGTTTCTAACTGAAGCTTAGTAGCTGCTTCTTCATCTCCCCTCCCTTTGCCCCTGTTTAAGTGCACAACACTGGTTAGTGTGAAGTAAGAGACTGATAAAATACCAGGATGCGGTCATCAAAACTGGGGGCAGACTTTCTGGACAAACAGTACTATACAAATGTTCCAAAACATACCAACAACACAAACAGAGTCCATGTGAGCAGTTCAGTTACTCGAGTACAGTAGGTGAAGGTGAAGTCCGGCACCTATTGCACACCTGTCAATCAAAGCCCAGTCTACAGATGGTGGGAAAGAACAGTCCTAATACTTTGTTATTGTACTTAAGTAGAA